AAAACCGTAGAATATGCATTCAATGGAGTGTGCACAGGGAAAGGAAAGAAATCCATGACATTCAGACAGATACTGAAGTTCAGAATTCTTTCTAATTACAAAATGCAAAGTGATGCCATTGTGAGTAATCTCCTAACATGGGCACCTCTGTGCCAGGACACAAAGAAGTATTAGGTTTGTTTGCCACCTTGAGTTATCTCAAAGGTGCTTTTTTTTTTCTTCTTCGAAAGGCAACTGCAGTGTTTTTTCCTTGAGGAAGATCTACCCTTCCACTCCCCTGCCTTCAGAACTGATAATGCTTCTTGGATGAGAAGCAAAATGTTTTCTTCTTCTTCCTCAAGGAGAAAAAAATAGGTCTTTTGAAGAAAAAAAAAAGGATCTTGAGACAAGTATAATCTGAATCGGGGGTCTCCCACCTTGGCCCCTTTTAAGACTTGTGGACTTCAACTCCCAGAATTCTGGGAATTGAAGTCCACAAGCCTTAAAGGGGCCAAAGTTGGGAGACCCCTGACCTGTGTGACTGAGAATCTCCACAGACACCTTGAGTTATTTGTAAAAATAAAAAGGCAGGATAAAAATAAGTAAAAGAACATGGACAAATGGTTCAGAAGAACAATTGTGTTTTTAAAATATATATTCCTGATGTTCCACAACAGCATGGGATTTAGCTGCAAACTACTTATTTTATTCCATATCTTGTTCTTCTATGTGCAACATTTCCAATTATTGTGAACATTTATTGCCCAGGTCCACTCGGGGGAAAATATTATTCTATTTTGCAATATAGATTGTTCATAATTGTGGGTCTTTTATTGAGCTATTAATGCCAGGTTTTTTTTTCTGCCTGGTTTTGAAGTGTTATACCAATATGAACTGAAGCAGCATCCTCATATTTCCATCACTGATTTCCACTGGGCCCTGTGTGGGCATATGCTCCCAACACAATATTAGAATTAGAAGAACTTTATCGTCATTGTACAAGTACAACGAAACTGTGGATGCACCCCAGCAACTGTTCACAATACAATAAAACCAAAGCACTTAAAAATGAAGATAAGAAAGATAGAGTACTCACATCTCCATTTGCAATTTGAGAGTACAATATCTACAGATATACACAAAATATACATCCAACAAAAAATATCAAGAAAAGATCTAAATATCCCCTGAAACTTTAGCAAAATATCAGTTAGGTTACTACCTATATCAAAGATTAATTCATAATATCAGAGAGCTATATTGGGGCATGCATACATGTGACTCACATGTAGCATAGCTCATTTTTAAGTTATGCGATGCTAGTTCCATGTATCAAGATATGAGGTGAGATTGATTGATTGATATTTCTTTATTTATTTAGCTAGCTAGCTAACTAGCTAGCTTTTATACCAGAAGCGCCGGTGGCGCAGGAGCCAGAATGCAGTATTGCAGGCTAACTCTTCCCACTGCCAATTGTTCAATCTTGAGGTCGGTAAAACGAAGACCCAGACTATTAGGGGCAGTCCATCTCAGTCAGGAATGAGGATTAAGGGGTTAAGCAAGAGGTACGATAAGGCTTTGATGTATAGCTCCTTCTACAGTACAGATTTGGGGCTCAAATTGCACTGTCAATAAAGTATGAAGACAATGCTCATGTATGACCATTGCTCAACAAGTGCACCTGCTCTACATACAGACGGTCCAAGATTCGATCCCTGGCATGTCCAGTTAAAACCAATCAGATCTATTTATGTACTTATCTATTAAACAAATGTATAAGGCTGTCCAACTTACAGATGGTTCCTCTGGATGGCTTACAAATTAAAATTTCACAGTGGAAGAAGCCTTAAGCACACACACACTCCAATATTTAGCAAATATGGCTAAAGATCTTGGAGAGCTACTGTCAATCAGAATAAAATGCCAAATTGAAAAAGAGTCTGCTTATCTTCCACTCATAGCTTGCAACTGCCTAGAAAGATTATAAAAGAAAAACCAAACAAGAGAAATGGAACTGGTGTAGTGGTGAAGATGCTGACCTAGAAACCAGGTGACTGTGAGTTCTAGTCCCAACTTAGGCATGAAAGCCAGCTGGGTCATTTGGGGCCAATCACTCTCTGTCTCTCTGTCTCTCTCTCAGCCCAACCACAGAGAAGAGTTGTTGTGGGGAAAAAGAGGAGGAGGAAAGAGTATTATGCATCTGTGCCACCTTGAGTTACTTATAAAGCAATAAAGGCAGGATAAAAATCTAATAAATCTAATCTAATACATAACAGAGACAATTTGCTCAATTGTGCCTGCTATGTGTTTTTTTTTATTATGCTATGTGTATGTGTGTGAGATAGAATATGCATCAGCACATCCCCTGCCAAGATAGAATGATGCTCCAGAGACACTAAAAAATGCAATGGCACAGCCATAACATCAACTAAAACCGAACTGAAGAAAGTCACGATGCGTTTAAAAGGTAGCAGACAGTATTACTGAAAGAGGTGTCTCATTAACACAGCAGCACAGAGAGAGAAAAGGAAAGAGACACAGAAAGGTGGGCCTTAAAAGTCAATATAGGAATGTTAGGCAGTGGCCTTCACTCTTCCATCTTTTCCACTCTTTGATGCAATGATTGCAAATATGCGGAGAATCCAGATTTGGGGACACTGAAATAATAAAAGTTCCTAAATTTGGCATTTTCAGAACTATGCTGAAAAATGCCTTTAAACGCGTTACAAAGAATTCCAGTGTCTTTAGCATTAGTTCAATATATACCTTACAAAAGAGCTGGTGAATCTTTTATTTTAGTTTAAGTAAGGGCAGTGTTTGAGGGATTGGGAATTGTAATTCAGTCTTTTAATCTCCCAGGAAGTGCTCTCAAGAAGTCATAGAAAGAGTAGGCTAGCCTATTTTCTGTTCTTGATTCACAATCACTGGAGGGGGGGGAGGGGGGAATCCTAGCTCATTTCAAGGTTTGGGGGATTTTAAAATTGGGGTTTCCCAGAATGTTACCATGCCTAACCTTAAGACACCCTGTATTTTAAAAAACTGAAATTGGCTCCCCAAAGGCATTCTGACCCGGAAGGAGTCAAATTCTGACAGTGAGAACTTGAGGTGCTGCTGCTTGGCTACCCATGGGCCACACATTAACAATCTTTGCCACTATGCTGGCAATTTCAGTTCCCAATCCGTCAAATGCTGTCCATATCTAATCCATGCTAAGAGATTCGCCAGCTCTTTTGTAAGGTACGTATTGAATTAATGCTAAAAATACTGACATTCTTTGTAACATCTTTAAAGGCATTTTTAAAGGTAAAATTAACATTTATATTTAATCGGCAGACTCCATATAGATATGAAGTCCCCTTTCAGATTATTGTCTGTGCGAGCAGGATGTACACACTTCAGGATCACTGATAAAAGGCACTTGCAGAGTAAATTCTCTTCTACACCCCCAGAATTTTCTCTGCATACAGATAAAGCAAGGACAATGGTGCTGGTAGAGTCAGTACTGTTGTCAATACAGCATTCAGAAAGTGCAGAGAATGAACCCTCCTGGTCACGTGCTTCATACAAGATGAGAAAGAAAAACATTGACAATGTTACCTTTATGTCCATCTCAGGGTTGACAAATTCTTTCAGATACTGAATGGGTCCCATCAGGAAAGGGCAATGGTTGCTGAAAACCTGTCCACGTTAGAATGCAAGGGGTGAGACAACAAATAGGATCTACCCTTTTTGCTTACAAGCTCCTATTTAATTACCTTCCCTCCACCAAAAAACAAAGCAAGGAGCAGACCGTTGTTTGTAGCTGTGTGTGGACAAATATCAGGGCCCCACCACTTACCTCCTGAAGTCCCTCCTGTGCCATTGATCGGAACCACAGAATCTCCCCAATAATTGTCATCCTTTTTAGAACATTATCTATGCCTAGACAGAAGAGATTGTGATTAGATACAATCTTCCAGGAGCCACAAGACCTTTAGCTTAGCTTATCCCAAGATGTTGTGTGTGATTGTATTTGAAGTATAACGTCTATAATCCCTATCACCCAGCTTATCATAGTACACACTAGTTGGGAATGATAGACATTCCATAAATACCTTTAGAAGGCATCCAAATGGGACAAATTATCCCAGGTCAACAGAAGCTGTTGAGTTATTTCTATGAAAACCAAGATAGTCTACTCTAAACAGTCTTAGAATGAGAGTACAACACAGTTGCAATATTTAGAACCAGTGTCTAAAACAGCAGGAACTTTTACAAGGCTGCATCTGCTGGTAAGTTTCTAATGATGTCAGATATATTTAGAACCTGAAACCACTTTTGTGGAAAACTCTGCACAGAAGTTTGGCAATAAAATATTCTATTCCATTCCATTCCCTCCTCATCCCCCCCACCTACCCAAATATATTAGTTAGTCTTAGGATATATCCAGACAGCTGGCCTAATATGCTGTAATGCATGACAAAACTATGCCATCATAATTTGCTCTGTCCCCACATCCAATTTCCAGTCTGCTGTACTAAAGAGTTGGTAAATTGGGCTATAGGAGGAGGAAAATCCTGTTTCAAGTCCACATTCACACACAAAAAAAGTCCCCAGGTGACTTGAAGGTGGTCACAATCTATCTCACATTATGTCACAGAACTCTTGTGAGAAAAAGTGGTGGTGGAAATGTTACACTCACTATCCTGAGCTCTTGGGGGAAAGGTGAGTCAAACCTAATGAATTTACTATCTCTAAAATATTGGGATTATCAAAACAGTGAGAAATGAGACATAATATCATCCATTCTAAGATTTGGTCCGAAAACGTACATTTAAAAATCAGTAATAAAACCCAGAGTCAAAACAGATTTGACTTCTTTAGTTGTGCTTTCTGTTTTTCTTTTAAAAAACCCCAAAACAAACAAATCCTGAATTCACTATTTGCCTCACCAATGACTGCTGAATACTTGAGGCAGAGAACAAGAAGTACAGAACCATTACCTGATAGGCGGGGCATTAACGTTGCCATCTGCTCTGGATGGCAGTAGTTGGATCTGATCTGAACCAAAACATCCATATTCTCAGTCACAAGTTCCTGGAAAGAATGAAACTTTGGTGATATTGTATGACGACTCTGGAGACGGTGCAAAATTTATCCTGAGCAGCCTGCTTCTCAGTTTGCTTTGAGAAATAGCCATATGCCAATCTTCAAATCTCTCCCCGAGAAACTTAGCAGAATTTCTAGAACCAGACCCTTCTGCTCAGTGCCTTTTCTTCTAATCTGAAAGGCAGGTTTCATGCACCACATAAAGCCACTGTGGACTAACTAGACCAGCCAGCTCACTTAATATACTGTTCTACACTGTGAGGAATGGCAGGGGACTCACAAAAAACTCTGTTCAAACCAGATAAATTATATTATGGTTTCATGAGCCCAGAATAAGTAAGAAAATAGCTGATTCCAATCTGTTCTCTCCACTGAGCTTTATACCTTTAGCTCTACCATCTGTGAGGTGACATGCCACATGAGGTTATCACTTAGGAACTTCATTCCATAAGGACCAAGGAGTTCAGCCAATGCTCTCATTTCTGCAAGGAAATCAAAAGGAATTCATTTTTATTATAGTACAATAGTACAGTAGGCATACTTAGAACAGCCACAGCAGGGTCAATCTTTTAAGATTTCTTTCTCCTATAGGCATCAGGGAAAAGGAGACATCAGATGTTGATTCATCCTCTTCTGGTTATAGAAATTGCAAGAGATCTCAGCCTTCTCATTTAACTTATTGGAGGCCTTTTTTTAAAAAGAAGCAATAGCCAAGACAACATGGCACTGGTAATGATGAACACAACTCACACAAGAGACCAGGACCAGATTTTTCAATATGCTTGTCTCGGATGGAGATAATTAACTGAAATAATCATCTTAAATTGAGTGGGCATTTGTCCTATATTTATAGTTACTTAAGAGCCATGGTGGCGCAGTGGTTAGAATGCAGTACTGCCCCTCCCCCCCTTTTAAACCAGTACTTATCCCTCTCTGCAGCTTCAGCCTTCCACCAAAATATATAATGGATTCATACCCATTAACTTAAAGGCGAGATCAGCTAACACATTGCAGGTACGATCATTTAAGAGCCACGGTAGAGCAATGGTTAGAGTGCAGTACCACAGGCTACTTCTGCTGATCACCGGCTGCCAGCAATTTGGCAGTTCGAGTCTCACCAGGCTCAAGATTGACTCAGACTTCCCTCCTTCCGAGGTGGGTAAAACGAGGACCCAGATTGTTGGGGGTAATGTGCTGACTCTGTAAACCTCTTAGAGACGGCTGTAAAGCAGTATAAAATGGCATATAAGTCTAAGTGCTATTGCTAGTGCTAGTGCTACTTTTGTTGTTGAAGACACTGTTGATTTGCAACATTTTGTTGACAGAAATTATTGGCATAGTCTTGGAAAGCTTCAGAGATATTCAGAAAAAGGCAGGAAGAATACAGAGGGCCCATGGGCTGACCTTTATCTACTTTGACTTAGGAGGCAGTTTTTTCTCCGTTTGGTATGATGTCCCAAGTTTACCCCTAGCTTCCTAACTGACTGAGAAACAGCCAAAAACCATTTCCTTCCTACTATCTGCCACTGCTGAGGAGAGAGAGGGGGGGGAGAGGGGAGGGAGGGAGGGAGGGAGAAAGAGAGAGAGAGAGAGAGAACTGTAAAACTTCCATTGTTCTAAGATCCAAATTCTATGACATACTGAACATTCTAACCAGGAGCCTCATGCACAAAGCACGTGTTTCTGTCTCGTTTTACGTTGTGTCTTTAAGATCTTACATTTAAGGCCAGGATGTAATTTTTAATCTTTGTAATATTGCTGTGAGAGTGTATGTTTGAAAGGGATGGCTGGATGTTAAGTTCCCTGTGTTGATGCTGTCCTGGTTCTGAATACTTTAGTACTAAACTTAATTGCTGGTCCATGTAGTTTGCTTATGAACAACATGGAAGTGGTTTGTCTCCTCCTCTTCCTCCTCCATTATTCTATTTATTTTATTTTATTTATTTATTTGATTTGTCAATCGCTTACAAGATAATAAATATAAGTATAAACATGAGTAAGAATACAGGAAATAGGTACGAATGGGGATAATAGGACAGGGACAGTAGGCACGATGGTGCACTTATGCATGCCCCTTACAGACCTCTTAGGAATGGGGTGAGGTCAATAGTGGTTAGTTTGAGGTTAAAGGAGTGGGGGTTAGAGGATGTAACAACAGAGTCAGGTAGTGCATTCCAGGCATTGACCACTCTGTTGCTGAAGTCGTACTTTCTGCAATCAAGTTTGAGGTGGTTTACATTGGGTTTGTATCTGTTGTGTGCTCTTGTATTGTTGTGGTTGAAGCTGAAGTAGTCATTGACTGGTAGGACATTGTAGCAGATAATTTTGTGTGCTACGCTTAAGTCTAACTGTAGGCGGTGTAGTTCAAGGTTGTCCAAAATCTCAAGCCTGGTGATATAGGATATTTTATCTGGTGATAGGGATTCTCTGCTTCATACTCAAAATTTGCCACAGCTTCTAATGAACAATACAATTCAAATCTATCAGCTCATCTACGAACACTAGGAATTAAATTCAAATAAGGTGACCCCCATTGTAACTCAATTCTGAATGGTTCAGTCTAGGCATTTTGACACCTACCTAGGACATCACAAAATTCTTCAGCACTGAAGATCTGTTCCCCTTCTTTGGGAACACTGACAAAGGCTTGCATTAAAGGCGAAAGGACAATGGATCCCATGCTTGTCTGGCGTAGAAGTGACTCCAGATACCTGGGAAGAGATGCCGCAAAAATTTATTCCATCTAAGAACAACTAAGTACAACTTTCTTAAACTTGTTGCAGGGCAGCTATATGGAAACAGGAAATGACAGAGCCAGGAAACCTTATTAGTAAGAAAGTCTTCCTAAGAAAGATTTAGCTCACAACCATAATATCCTTTCTCCCTCTTTCTATAAGAATGTACTAATGGGAAGAAGGAACAGCTTATCCATTCCTGAAAATAGTGTATTATTTTCAACGTAGACAACCCTCAGCATAGTCTCTAGTCTCAAGAAGAATTTTTTTAATGAATATCTCAGAGAATATGACTCTTGGAATTTCAAGGAGATAGTAAGAGTGACCTTAGCGTCCCTGGGACCTACAGTTGTACAGCAGTATTTTCTCCATGCAGGTCACCATTATGCTCCGGCCACATACCAGTTGGTATAGAGCGTGGTGATGGTCTGCTCCCCACTTGCATCCAGTGGCTGGGTGTGCTGCAGGAGCACTCCACGGAGGACGCGCGAAGTATCCACTCCCACACGATGCATCAGGGACACCAGGAAAGTAGCATAGGCCTGCACGCCTGCTAATACTTCTGTGGGACGCACTATCTCTGGAGAATCTGGGTTTGGTTTTACCAGTCGCGCCAAACATCTATGGGCAAGATCAAGAAAACAAGGAGAAACAACAACAACAAAAGCACACATACATATATCAACTTGCAACCCTCAAGTCACAATTCTGCAGGACAGTATATTTATTGTATTGTATTGTATTGTATTGTATTGTATTGTATTGTATTGTA